CCCCCCTTTTCCTATCTCCTTTAATCAAAATGGTGCTTGATCAAAATGGGGGGAGGGGGAATCTCTCGCTCTCTTTCTGCTCCTCTTCCCAGCCGCTGGTCTTAGCCCCAAAATCCGTTGCCTCCCATCTTGCTTTGGAAGTCCCTTGGTGGCTCAACCTTCCCCCCCCCAAGAAAAATACACCTTTTATTCAGAGAAGGTAATGCTTCTACGCCCCCCTCCCTCCACCCATGTAGGCTGCCTTCAAAAGTGAGGTTAACTTTCAGGAAATATAACAGCCAAATGCACAACTGCAATTTAAAAGGAAACATTGCGGGGGGGAGAGAATTGGAGGGTGGAGGGGGTGCACTTCTTTGGTCCCCGCCTCCAGCAGCTTCCCAGAAGGAGATCTTCAGCCCAAAGTTAAGAGTTCAGAAGCATCAAGTTGCAAAAACTCAAAAAGCAAACCATCATTCCTTCCCTCTACAGGGCACCATCTTGGGCAGGGATACATGCTCAGAAGCTTTAAAATTGGGCATCGCAGAACCCGGGCATGTTTCTGCACCTTGCCCCCATCAGTCTTCAGAGTGATTTGGTTATTTGAGTCCATTTTTGCAACGCTGGATATGGACGCATTGGCAACTTCCTGATATTGATGAGAGTCTCTTCCTTTGTTCCCCCAGGCACCAAACCCAAAAGAGAATGCAACAGGTTGCAGTTCACACACACCAAGAGCCCCTGCTACTAAACCCTAACCCCGTTCCAGACTCACCAACTTAAAAGACTGCTTGGCAGGTGCCCTTGGTGAGTTGTGACCTGATGGGCTTAAATAAGCCAGGCCTGTTGGTTTCCCCTCTACCCTCAAGATCTCGCAACCAACCCAGTCGATCACTCAAATCCGTTGCAGCAAAACTCATTTGGGAAGTGTCTTGATTCAGCCTTGGCCCTCCTTGGGATGGGCAAGGAAAGTTTTCTTGGGAGAGAGGAGACAAGGAGATGCTGTTTTCCTTGAAGAGATGGTGGAACCTCGTTGGATGAGAGGTAGCCATCAGACGCAGACATTTTAGCTGTGCCCCCAAGGTCTATCCGTTCCCCAGCCATGGAATAAGATTTAAGAACTTGGGACTCTAATTGAGGTTGATCTCAGTCCATAGCAGAGCTACCAGCCAGAGATAATGGGATCATATCAAACCATCAACTGCCGTCAACTGCTACCTTTAATACATTCCTCATCCCTAGTTCCATTCTCTTTGGATGACAAGAATGCTTCTTTTTAAACCATGTTGAAAGAGGGATTCTCACCAGTGCACGAGTGTAGAAAATAAGGTAGAAGACCTTGATGAAGATATGCAAGCTCTGTTACCAAAGCAACAAGGGGAAAAACGTACCTTAGGTCCGCAATAGACAGAGCATATGTGGAAGAGGCTCAGACAGACACCTCCCTAATTCACTGGAGTATAAGAAGGGGAGGAGGGACACCACAATCAGACATGCAAGATTCTGTTATTAGAATCTTTAATGAGATTATTATTAAGATTATTATTATTATTTTTATTGAGAGCCACTCTCAATAAAAGTAGCTTTAGTCTTTCTGTGGAATCGATTCCTGGTCTGGTCTACCTGGTGGGACTGACAACAGTCTTGCAAATCTAATTGCAGTGGTAGGTGTGGTGAAGGCTATGGCTTTCCCGTTGTAGCATCTGGCTGTGAAGGCAGGACTGTCAGAGAGGCCAAACGAAGAACAATGGAGGCTTCTGAAAGGTAGGAGAGGAGAACATTGTGGAGAAGACCTCGGCCCACAAGAAGAACAAATCATTCAGTTCTATATGAAGCAAAGCCAGGCTGCTCCCTGGAAGCCCTAAGAACAAAGCTGAAGCTTAGATATTTCCGACTTACAATGCAAAGGCCCAAAAGTCATTGGAGAAGACCCAGATGCTTGGCAAAATTAAAGACAGTTGAAAAAGGCCCATAGAAGACAAGGTGGCTAAATACTTGCATGGACAGACAGACAATCCTGGCAAAACAAGGTCCCACCAGGTCACTGCATTCAGAAGCAAATGAACAAAGGCTACAGGATCCAGACTGCAAACATCCAGATGACGTCTCAATGGCAGCAACGAGAGACTGAAAGTTCTAACTCTATCTGGGGACCATCTGGATTTTCACAGGGCAGGTCTTGTAGTTCCATGGGCTCTTAAGACTTGAACCAATTACTCACCTACAATGGGCTCCTCAGTTGATTCTCCTGATGCACTTTGGGGGCCTGTTCATATATACTCAGTCCGGCATCTAACTGACCTCGATTGATCTCCAAAACGCAGGCAGAGTCAGTCCTAGTTGGTAGATGCTGGGATGAGAGACTACCAGGTCATCCCATGGCTGTAGACAAGACCAGTCTCTCTCTCTCTCTCTCCCCCTAACCCTAGCCCTCAGGAGCTGGACTAAGTGGGGAAACCCAGCTTCTAGTCCTTCCTTAGGCATGGAAGCTAGTTGGGTAGGTTGGGCCAATCGCTCCCTCTTAGCCCCAGATTTGGTAGTCAGAAAACATTTCTCTACCAAGCTGTGGTAGATTGCAGTCCATAACTTTCAGTGAAGAAGCCTTCATCCTACATGGATAGATTCATAGTAATAATAATTTTTAAAAATATCCTGAGAGACCACAATGGAAAACCATGTATGTATTGTAGCTGAGAAAATCGCACAGGCGTACCCCTGAAATCCTTAACAGTTGAGCCTTAACTCCACACAAACATGAGACTGACCTGTCTTTATATCCAACTTACACAGCAAGAGAAACAAGAGTATATGTGATTTACATTTATTGGAGGGTTCCAATTTCATTGCTACTATTATACAGATATGCACTGCTCCAGTCAAATCTTTCCATATTCCAGCCGTTCAGCCTGTCCCCTGAATTCCCCCCCCCGCCAATAAAGAGACCAACTGAAATAATGTAAGATTTTATACTGGCAAATATAAATGATATCATTTCAGAAATATTCTTTTTATAATTAAAACCCTACTTATAACCATTCAAGTAAGGTAGCCGGAGTGGAAAGGGAAGGGGGGCAAAGGAGAGGGGGTTAAAAAGAAATCTTGATTTTTTTAATCTCTTAAATAAAGCAGCCTTGAGGGAGAGAACTTTTT